TCACTGAAAAAAGAAGGGGGACTACTGATGTAGAGGGGGACTCCGATGTGAAAGGGGGCAGGGCGGCTCCCAAATTAGAAGAGGGGACCATACCAAACCCCTTCTTGGGATAAAGATCTGGATGGATGGATTTTGGAGGAATACACTTCATTTTTTACATTTTACACTGGGGTGCCTCAAGAATTTGCATACTGCTAAAGCGTGCCATGACTGGGAAAAGGTTGAATAATGCCCTCGTTGAGATCCAGTAACTGAGGAACTGTGGCAAGATCACTAGTGTGCATTTGGGTGGATCTGTGTTTTCTCAGTAGGCACCTCATTATTTCCTGATATAAAAAAAAAAAATACCACCTGGATTTAGCTAAGCAAATAGGTCAGAGCCTTCCATTAGATACAAGCTCTCGGTTCAGCAACATTATGTCCACCAAAATGAAGTCAGCTGCCTGCCTGAATATACTGAATGACCAGGTTTTTCCATTAATGGTTTTTTTTTTCTTCCCTGATGGCACATTGGGCATATTCAAAGATGACAATGCCAGGATTCATCGGGCTCAAATTGTAAAAGAGTGGTTCAGGGAGAATGAGACATCATTTGCACATATGGATTGGCCACCGCAAAGTCCAGACCTCAACCCCATTGAGAATCTTTGGGATGTGCTGGAGAAAACTTTACACAGTGTTCTGACTCTCCCTTCATCACTACAAGATCTTCGTGAAATATTAATGCAAATCAGGATGGAAAAAAATGTTATGACATTGCATAAGCTTATCGAAACAATACCACGTCAAATCCGTGCCGTTATTAAAGCTAAAGACAGTCTAGCGAAATATTAGTGTGTGATTTTTTTGGGGCCATATTTATTACTTTATAGTGTCATCATTTACTGTGATAGACACAACAAGGATGGGTAATATAGAAATACAATGTGTAAAAAGGATAATGACCTGTACATCCACCTGTATAGCCAAACGTAACAATAATAGTAAACTATAGGAGAGGGAGCCCAATACCATGGGAGCCCCATGGTATTACTAGTAGTACTTAGTCACATTCAATTGGTCTTTTTCCTTAATGTCCAGAACTAAAGGAGCTGCCTGGATGAGCGGCAAAACCTCTTCAACGTTTCAGAACACTGAAAAAAAAACTGCTATTATACTACACCTTGAGTGCTATCGTTTCTTCTAACATGGGGATTTGACCGGTGATATTTGGAGACATAGTGGCCTGTAGGATTTGAGCGGCTGATCACATTGTTTGAAATTGAAAGAAGAAACTGGAAGATTTGGAGAAGTAGATTACATCTAAGCTTATGTGACCGTCTAGAGATAGAGGGTCACGGAAGTCTGGTGGGTGAAGAGCAGTGCTGTTTTCACAGGGAGAGTGACACCTGCGGTGCTTATACTGTGGATCATCAGAATATTCTTGAACATTGGGTATGGATTTTCACAGTGGTGGAAAACTATGGAATGGCTATACAAGACACATCGATCTTATGCGTTAAGCACATGGGCACTTTATTGTTATTATGAATTGTTGATGACACTATATTAATTTTTACATTTAACTCTTCACTCTTAACTTCAAAATATTGTTTTCACGTAAGGATTTTTTTCACTATTTAATTTCTAAGTTGAATTTTCTTTGTTGATGTTTATATTATGTGATATGTTAGGTCACGAGGTTTACAAATTTACAATTAGCGCTGTGCACTTTTCTAGATATATGTTAGAAGTACTTGTACTTGGAGTGTAGCAGCTTCTTGTTTTATCCTACACAGCACCTAATTCCATAGCGCAGGATATTAACAGCCAACATTACAGAACACGTCAAGCTGCATGTGACTAGCTGCTACTAGTGAGTTCATCTATATGTTTGCACAAGCACATGCAGGTAATGTCACTGTACATGATCTGTCACCAACCAGCAGAATTAAGCCCCTTTGGGTACAGGAGATCAGACACCATTCATGAAAGGGATACCTCTAGATGTTCTGCATTTCTTTTGAGATGCACATTTTTTAAAAGTAGAACCGTGGCCTTGAAACAAAAAACTGTGAGCAGTAAGGTTTTTTGTTACAGAAGCTGTGCACGTCTCATTGCTGGAGCGGAGGTGAGTATTTTCAGACTTGAGTTCAACTTTAAATACCACCAAAACCTTCAAAAACATCAAGTGCCCAAACAGATTAAGGAAGAGTGCACTTCCCTGAAATGTTGGCAGATGGCAAAGAAGCTAATGCTTCCCTTGCTATCTGCTGTTTTTTTTTGTATTATGACAGCTGCTGCCGTCAGAATAAAAAGAAAGAAAAAAAAACCAGCATAGGAATGAATAGCTAGATTGTTATTGGCTAGTTCAATTTGCAATAGCCAAGCCGATAGCAAGCTGGCTATTGCACCCACCCTCTGCTGCTGTCAGTCATTAAAGGAGGACCTGATGGAGAACCTCATGTCTACCTCTGCTGATTGACAGCAGTAGTGGGCGGATGCAATAGCTAGTCTGCTATTGGCTAGTTCAATGTGCTATTCATTCCTATGCCGGGGAATTTGTTCTGACTGACGGCGGCCGGCGGCCCTGATTTTAAAAAATAGAGCAGAGAAAGGTTTACTCTGCTGGATAAAGCAGAGTAGACATTTATGGGGGAGAAAATATTTCTCTCCTGGGTATCCGGGAGCCGCTATCTAATAGCCGGAGACACCTGGAACATCCGGGAGAGTTGAGATGTCTGTTCTTGTGTCCTCCACTTATCACATTTTGCTATTTTCCTGATTTTGGTAGTGATGTTCCTTTAAGGTCTCATGAACACAGGCATATTTCAGAGCAAATACAGGTGTACATTTGGACATGCCCCCGAGTACATACATTGCTTTGGACAAAAAACTGCAGCAGCTGTGGCCCCCCGGTGCTGCAAATACAGGTGTATTTTACTCTGTATGAAGATATGTCTCCATTTGCTCTGGATTATACCCGTGTGCATGAGCCCTTACAGGGGACTCTACAATTATATATCTCATATCCTAAGTGTTAGTGATTTCCCATTCTTCTTCTCTCCTCTGTCTGCTTTTTACTATAATCTCATCAACATAACATTATAATATATTATACCAACATATTGCATAACACATAGTTTCCAACATAGAAATTCAATATCTTACATGACACATTCAACATGCACAAAATGACCACAAGCAACAACCTGCACCCACTCCAAAAATGCCCCCGTCCTTAAAAGAGGAAAACCATTTCTAAGTGCTATTTACTGCTGGGATGATTATGAGTTACAAGGTGAAGGATTCCGAACCGAGAATTATTTCAGAGACTTTTTCATTATTCTGAACGCCATATTATAGATGGAATCATAGCAGTGATTATGATTATCCAGTATCCAGTGCATCCCGGCGCAGTTCCCACTTGGAACGCACTGGATCGCATAGATCAAGCTGGGCACCATTCTGGGGGGAGGGGGCGTGTCGGTGCCATTCATGTCAATGGCCTCGCAGACCCCCCCTGCCTGCAGTGCGATCGCCCTCACCAGAACGCAAGGTACAGGAATGCCCTCTGTTCAAGTGCAGTGCGACCTGAAGAAATAGTGCATGCAGCATTTTTTCAAATCGCACTGCATTGGAGGGCATTCCTGTACCTCGCGTACCACTCCCCCCCTCCCGCCCCAGAACGCTGCCCGGCTTGATCTATGCGATCCAGTGCGTTCAGGAGCAAACTACACCGGGCCGCACTGGATATGGTGTGACTGGGCCCTGAAGGACTTTTACTTACCTGATCCCTGCTCCCCTGACAGTCGGCGCTCTCCTCTTCCCCTCTACGCTCCAGTTTGTGGACTGCCCCTCATGTACAATGCAGAGCTCTGGGCCCTGCATTGTGCGTTATGTTGTCAATGGGACTCTGACCGCCGGAACGTAGGGGGGTAGAGGCTCCTAGAGTCGGTCCTGGAGCTTGCAGGAGTGGGGATCAGGTAAGTAAAAGTCCATTACACAGCTATCCTAGACATAAATGAGCATTAAACCCCTGCGGTGCAGGCAGCCCCACTGCAAGGGTAGTTTTTTTTCCCTGCGGATAGGCTTTAAGTTAATAAAGATGCAAGCATTCGTGATTCCTTATGTCATCAGACTTTATATAAAGGCTGGTTAAGAATCTGGAAAGTTTGCATCTTTAATAGAAATCTGGAAAGGAATCCAAGGAATCTGGAAAGCTTGCATCTTTAATAAACCGAAGTTAGCCAATAAACAGAGCCACCTAAACTCCAAACCTTCTGCACTAATCAATGGCAAACCCTGTACAATACTCTACTACTGTTTGCATTGCTCTAATATAAACCTGCATTGAGTTTGCATGTTCTTCCTGTGCTTGTGTGGGTTTCTTCCAGGTACTTCGGGTTCCTCCCACATTCCAAAGACATGCTGGAAGGTTAATTGGCTCCTGTCTAAATTGGCCATCGTATAAAAGCATGTGAGATAGGGACCTTAGATTGTAAGCTCCTTGAGGGCAGAGACTGATGTGAATGTGCACTATGTAAAGTGCTGTGTAAATTGTCGGCGCTATATAAATACCTGTAATAATAATACAAAAATATATAAATCACATAAAATGGTGCACCGCACAACCACTCTCTATGTTGGTGCCATCAACAGAAATCTGTCCAGTCTTCTTCTATTATCCAAATTCTTTATACTGTAACAAATGACAACATTTCTGGATCTCACGTGATCCTTCTTCAAGCCAAAAACCAATACATCAGACGCCATCTGTTACAATATTGTGAACTAGATAATAAAAGAAGGTTGAGTGCTGCAACACCTGTGATTGTGTTATTATACATATATATGTATATAAATATACCCACGCACACACATACATAGATATATGTGTTGCATACAACTTTCTAAACAATAAAAACATGAAAACTAAACAAAAACAAAAGTTTCAAATTTAATGGAGACACTGAAGCTAAAAGTTCTCCAAAGTTTCAGAAAGTCCCATCATGTCCTACCTGAGAAGTCAGCCAGGGCAGAGACCTGTGTGGTCCACAGCAGGAGGATACAGCAGAGGATGCTGCTCAGGGTCGCTGGCTCCACCTGTCTCCCTTCATAGCCATCTTTCTTGATCATGATGTGGACGGGCAGCCTGGGAATTCACATGATCTGACCTGTGGCCAGCTTGTGCTGGACCGGCATTCCTGTCCCCGGGAGCTGCAGATCACATCTGCCAGGAGTCCTCATAGACGGTGAGTCTGAGCAATCATTCCACCTCTTACGTGTGTCTATGGATGGAGGAGCAGCGCAGCAGCCAGGTGTCCCATGGGGCGCACACTCACAGTCTGGGTTCACCGGGGCCCCGGAGTCTGTGGCAGCATCCAGCAGACTGTGCCCACAGTGCTGGGCAGAATAAACTGCCCCTCCCTGGCAACACGTGCAGGACTTACTGATCCAGAAGAACCTTCCCACTTCCACAACTTCTACACTTCAGGGTTCTGGACACCCGGGCATTGGACATGGAGGAGGGTCGCCATCTAGTGGTGGCCATGATCAATATTCCGATACTGAAATGACTGAGTTGTACAGTCCTATAATGATTGGATGATACAATCACTGAGTTGTAGGGTCATACATGGTCTGATCTGATGATGAAATGACTGAGGTGTAGGGTCATACATGGTCTGGTAATTAAATCACTGAGTTGTAGGGTCATACATGGTCTGATAATGTAATCACTGAGTTGTAGGGTCATACATGATCTGATGATGAAAATACTAAGTTGTAGGGTCATACATGATCTGATGATGAAATTACTATGTTGTAGGGTCATACATGATCTGATGATGAAATTACTAAGTTGTAGGGTCATATATGGTCTGGTGATGAAATTACTGGGCTGTAGGGTCATACTTGGTCTGATAATGAAATTACTGAGTTGTAGGGTCATAATTGATCTGATGATGAAATTACTGAGTTGTAGGGTCATAGAAAAAACACAGGGCTGACTGCCTTCAAAGGGGAGGCAGTCCAGGGTTCAACAGAGATCGGGACGGACCAAATTTGAAAAATCATATAAAAACAGCTTTAATCGTGCATAACCAAGCACCATTCAAACTTAAGAAGACATAGATAAGATCATGAATGTTCACTGACTGTAAGTCTATTTTGTTCTAGGCGGTTGTTATAGACCCTAAAAAGAGTTTTAACACCTTTGTTCCAGTCCTTTAGAATGATTCCTCTTTAGATTACAGATTATCCTTTGTGTTATTTTAGCTGGCCTAAAAAAGGTATCAAAAAAGTTGTTCTTAAAAGGATAGATTGTATCCCCATTGTGTTGGTATTTTAGTCAATGGTAACACAGAAAAAGTAACAAAATGGTTTGGACTGTTTCACTAGCCCTTCTGTATATCCATTATCATTTTCTGGTTTTTCTCTGTTCCTATTTTTGAAGCATCTTCTAAGTTAAATTAATTCTCTAACCTAAAATGTGGGAAAGAATAAATAATGACGTTATATAAGTATGATGTATTGATAGAACGGAAAACAACAGAACACCAGAAAAGTGAGAACTAGAGGTCACACGAAGAGATATATGAAGCCGTGTTCCACTGAGAAATTTATCTACTGGGTTGTAGGGTCATACTTGGTCTGATAATGAATTTAATGGGTTGTAGGGTCATACTAGGGTCATACTGAGTTGTAGGGTCATACTTGATCTGATGATGAAATCACTGAGTTGTAGGGTCATACATGATCTGATAATGAAATTCATGAGTTGTAGGGTCATACATGGTCTGGTGAGGAAATTACTGGGTTGTAGGGTCATACTTGGTCTGATAATGAAATTAATGAGTTGTAGGGTCATACTTGGTCTGATAATGAAATCACTGAGTTGTAGGGTCATACATGGTCAGATGATGTAGTTACTGAGTTGTCAGGCTCCCACTGGGCCAAGCTTCAGTATCTTGCTAGCCGGCCCCGCTGGCAGTCAAAACACCTGAATAATGCCGGCATCCAATCAGATTGTTCAGGTGTTTTGACAGCCAGCGGGGAAGACTAGCAAGATACTGAAGCTTGGCCCAGCGGGAGATTCCTCCATCCACACAGTTTAGCGTAGATGGAGGAATCTGTTGCACTTTTTCCATCTGAGCATAGAAAATCTGCAGATAATCTATAGATGGATGGCCAGTTTAAGCCTCATCATGTAACATTTTTTTCAGAGTATAAATAAAGTAGTACCAAAAACATGAATACAATTAAAGAAAATAACCCATATGGACCACAAACCCCACACCCTCTAAATCTAAAGAGTAGATTTTGATTTTAGGCAAATCTCTTCTAAGCAGCTGAAAACCAAAAATGACCGTTTCCGATTTGATGAAATTTTGCCAATGGCTAATTTGGTACTTGAAAAAAAATCATTTTTTCAGAGATCACTCTGCCCATTCCTACCATCTATCTAAAAACATTTTTTGTCTGTTTCATCATCTGCCTCCTTACTCAATCCATGATGGTGCTGAACTGATGATGGCGCTGAACTGATGATGCTGCTGAGCTATGGAACTTAACAGAAGCGGAAAAATATAACATATCCTAATCACACATCTTTCTCTCTTCATCTTTGGCTCTTTCACCTCCATAATGCCTCACTTGTAAAGCTGCAATATTGTTGTGTCACAAAAAACCTGTATAGTGATTGTCTATTATTGTGTATCTGTGCCACCAGGCTCACGTAGGAGGAAAACACCACTCTGACTGCACTCCATTTACTCGGCTGCACATAAAAATAGGCTGAGAACTGTTGTGTTAAAAGCTGGAGGTGATATGGGCTACTTATGTGTGTGGGAGGGAGACTTATCTCCTATTCTACACTTTCCTATTGAACCTCTGCCAAAAAAGTAATCCACGGCTCCTATCATGAAAACTCAAACAAAACACATGGAAAGTCAAATAACATGACAAACACGGGGCATCAGAGAGCCTGAGAAATCACTGGCTGAGATTAGGCTTATTTAAATGCTGTCTATCACACATTCCTAAAGCTTTATGATTCATAGCAGGAACATATACCTCCATAAAGGAATTTGTCCTTAACCCTTTCGCTGCCAAGACCCCCCGGAACATTTTTCAAATCAGCTGGCCACGCCATTTTTTCCCATTGATTTGAGTTTCAACTGCTGCGTTGCTAGCGTTTGTAAAAGACCCCCCAAACCATATATTTTCTGAAAGCGCAGGCCCGGTAGCATAAAAAGATGGTGCTACTAAATTTGTAGGCCCTGCGATAATTGCGCAAATGTTTCTCAAATTAATATTTAACCGATAAAAATTACACAATTCAATTGTTAAAACACACCAAAATCAGTATCCGTGCACAAAACAAATAGTTTTCTGACTAAATCTAAAAGATAAAACTCTATTGAGTTAATAAATAACAAATATAAGCAAATTTGTAATTGCGCCTTTTTGCGAAAAGGTAAAAAAATGGTACACAAAACTGTAAATAAGCGAGGTATAACAACGCATGGCAATGCGTCATAAAGCTTTGCCATGCGCTGCCACAGTTCATTTAATGTTAGTTTAAAGAAAACAAATAAAGAAAAAAAAATCATGCACTTCGATGCGTTTTAACAATGCACTGCAGCGCATGTGCATGGTGTGCACCACAATATGTGTATGTTATGTGGGGGGAGGGAGGGAGGGGTTGTGCTTTTTTTATTAGTTTTTTTGTACACATT